GGGTGGGTAGATAGGACGAATGGGTGGGTAGATAGGACGAATGGGTGGGTAGATAGGACGAATGGGTGGGCAGATAGGACGAATGGGTAGGTAGAGGGATGGAAGGGTAAGAGATACAAGCACTGCTTACCTTGAATATATTAATAAATGTTTGCGGCACTGGGTCTCTTAGTAAAATCTCCTTCATCAGATTATCAAGACTTTTCAGAGCTTGTGACAGAAGTTCACTGGGTTCCTTGTCCTACAACGACACAAATGACACTCAGATAACATGATGTCACACGGCAAGATTATTGTTGATAATCATGTACTGGGACATGCCATTGGCGGTCACGGTTCTATTATGTCACACGGCATGATAGCGGTGCAGCATTCACGCGATTCACTTAACCAATCACAGTGTAAGAATATTGTTGATAATCATGTACTGGGACATGCCATTGGCGGTCACGGTTCTATTATGTCACACGGCATGATAGCAGTGCAGCATTCACGCGATTTACCTAACAAATCACAGTTCTATGATAGTCCAGTAGCTTGTCCATGCTAAAAGAGGCTTTACACCATCATGTGACGGCAGCAATGTTAGATGGCAGGAACAATACAATCGTTTTATATGAGAAATAATTCAATTCCCGAGAGCAAAGGGATTTTATTGTTCTGCCCTCTAACCACAGGCAGTCCAAGATGTATCATGGGCGCCGGCAGGTGATGGTACAAAACCTCCATACGAGAAGACAAATCGTAAGAATACTCACATGCTGAATATCTTCGACCTTCTGTTTCGTAGCCGGTGATGACGGCTGATCCAGGACGATCGGGAACACGAAGTCACCACTAGTCTTGACCATGTCGAACACTTCAGCATCTGTCATACGAGGATTGAGCTTACTGTGTAAAAAAACTGTTAAGGACTATATATACAATACACATACGCTCTGTTGATTCTCTTTTTTGTTATTTATATTAATTTTTATATTCACATCATTTGCCAATACGTTAAAAATAAAATAAAAGCCAAGATAATAATAAAAAAGGCAAATTCCATAGGACAAGTCAATGGCAGGGAGTACAGACAGAGACATTCTCCACTAAAGGGGTCACGGAGAAGATAGTTTTGAATATACTTGCCACAACTCAACCACTATTACATTTGCGATAAAAACAGTGTAATTCGTTTGTGACTCTCCTCATTTTGTCCTTTCCACTCCGCCATGTTTATACCAAATTTATACCCGGTCACAAAAAAAAGTTCGTAAAAGACACTGCAATAAATAGAAATCATTAAGTTAATAACTAATTACGGTACTAATAATTCGGTTGGCTCTATGTTAGCGTAGAGGTTTACTGCCTACCCCTCACCACTCTGGTCCGGGTTCGAGCTCCGACTCAGACTGGATTATATGTGAGTTGAGTTTGTTTGATGTGTTGTTCTCTCCCTTGCCACGAGAGTTCTTCTCGGTTTCTCCGGTTTTCCTCCCTCAAAACAAACATAAGCATGCGAGTTGAGTGTTGTGTATTGTAAATCGTGAATGTACTGGCAGTCAGTGGAGCGAACCTCGCGGAAGCGGCCCTTAAGGGGAGTTGGTGATGGTTGTAAAGTATTCATATTTTATATTTGATAATGCTAATGTTTTTTCAGTTATTCGTTTAAAGGATACACTAGGCTTGCACACGCATCCATAGCCAGGGCTCGTGTCTCGGTTGTGATGTGTGTAGCTGGTTCTGCTTTGATGTATGCCTAGTAAAAACAAATAGGGCGTCAATGATGGTACTTCATGTATTGTACAAATATATGATTACCAAATACACTTATTCATTGTCGGGCTCCTTGCCAAGAAAAAAAGGACATGATATATACGGAGTTCTGAACATGAGTCCGCGGTATCCTAAAAAATTGTGCATTCTGATTGGCTGTTTGAGCGGGCGGTATTTTGTCAGAATCTGCCCGCGGTCGCGGTCCAGTTTCCTAAACAACAAAACAAAAACGATGAAAAAACTACGGGAAAAAAAATTAATAAGTTATTTACCGTCCTAAAGTCGGTCCGGATAGGGTAAAACTGTGCCTTCGGTCTTAAAAACGCTCGGTCCATATATTCAAGACCTCGGGCACAGTTTTTCCCTGTCCGGAACTCCTGGCCGGTAAATAACATATGTATCTTACATAGTTTGTCTTGAAATATAACGCGAGGGCTCGACCCGACAGCCTCCCTTTGTAACGCTACTTGAGGATACCGCTGGGTCGTGAACTGAACTGCGACAATTAAGAGCTAACACCCTTCTCAAATTTATCTTGAATGCGAGGCTAACATGGAAATACAAAAGAAATGCCACAAATTCCATCGAGTGTGGCCTCGTATGATACTTTTGAGAAGGGTTCGTTAAAAAATTCAAAGAATTCGTAAAACATCTTTTTCCCATACCAACATATGATTGACAAGCTCAGCCCGCCTACTGAAGACAAAGTCAGCTTGCTGTAGTCGACTGGGGTCTAAGGCCTTCCCAATAAGTTCCACGGCTCGTATTAGGTTCTGCTTTACACTGGTATCCTAGGAAACAAAGAGTGTTAAATCCACGCAATAATTGGCGACAGCAGCGGCATTGGCAATGCAGGGGGAGGGGGGATACATAAAGCCAGCTTTGAGAAGAAAGTTTGAAAACGTTGATACATTCTATCTTGCTCCCGAAGTCACGATAGAGAAAGGCCATTTGCAACAAAATGACATTTTTATGGCTTATGTTGACGGGATTCCTGTGCTTTAGTCGGAAACTTCAACGCCAAACAAGCGCGCGCGCTCCTTCAACTAAAAAGTCGCGATGCAAGAAATTTTTCACGTCGTAATAGAAAGAAACTCACCTTAACATTGCCAAAATGCTTGATCATAACTCTGAATATGTTGGCTTCTAAACGGGATGTAATCAAGCTGCCGAAAAAAATGCATTGAATTTATTGTCAAGCATGGTGTTCACTTGCGACAGAATCCGAGTCGGAAGCAGCTTATGACGAAGTGAGACCAGAACACGGAAATCGAATCGCAATGAGAAGCGCGTCAGAAACCAGGCTCGCTTTCCATGGTTTCGTGCGCCCACGATCCTCTCCCCAGGGTCTGCAAAAGCGGCAGCCTCACGAATTAATTAAGCCGAGCCAAGTCAGAAGAGCATCGGGAGGATCGGTAGATTTCGTCTATTTTGGTCCCCGAAAACAGCTCCAAATTGCTCTGCAAATCCAACTAGATCCAGTCTTTTACTCAACCTAGGAACGGCTAACAGTACGAATAATATTCCAAATGCCTGTCAGTCACGCAACATTGTGTTGCACGTATTAGAGCGAATGCTGTTCGTTTTACTACACCTAGCGCGAAATAAATTTCTTTGTTGTATGAAGAAAATCGTACTTTACCTGGGGGGACCATACAGCGTTGCATAGCCATAGCACAACATCACTGTACTCTTCACACGCTCTACGTTTATGTCTGTTTTATCCTGGCGCAAAAAGAAAAATAAACGCTCTCATTAGGTCACCGAAAAAATGATTACCCCGCTTCCTCCCGCCAAAAACAAAACAAGACAAAAAACAAGATAGGGAAAGAAAGAAAAAAACGCCATCAAAACTAAACAAAACTAATTCTATGGTTCCCTGATATAACCTCTGGGCTGATCTATGTCAGGGCACGGCTAACTCACAGATGGAACCCTGAAACAACCTTTGGGCTGATCTAAGTCAGGGCACGGCTAACTCACAGATTGAACCCTGCAACAACGTCTTGGCTGATCTAATTCAGGGCATGGTTCACAGATCAAATTAGGATTCAGCCTGCTAAGGAAAACCGTTTTATTGTCTTGCTGTACAGAGTAACGTCATTACCTTCATAAATCCCAGGATTCCTCCAGATTTGCGAACCATATCTGTCTTGGACACATGCTCTAGCTTGATCAACACCGAGTCCAGATTGGTGGCAGCACAGAAACCTACTCCAATCGCACAACCCTAACAAGACGAAAGAATAGGAATGATTCATTATTATTGTCTCTAGTTGAAATAAACCGCCCAGTAAATAATTATTTAGAATACTGTTACTCAACTAGATTAGCTCTACAGTTATTTTGAGAAACTGGGTCGAGTTTGGATTGCACTGCATTCTGGGGCTGTTTTAGAGAAAATTATTTCCAAGATGGCGGCTAGGGGAATGAGACCTACTGTAGTTTCAATTATATCGTACTTTTGAAAGACGTTGCCACCATTTTGTGGCCCATATAACTGGCTTTAGAAAAGCATGTATATCAGCTTAGTATTTATTATAAAAAACCTCTGGGTGACAAGAAACATTGGAGTCCCTTAGTGACCATTATCCATTACGGTATAAACTCAAAGGCAGAGTTTTCATGAAGTTATAGCATAAATTACAAAATTCAAGCTCGAGCTTTTAAAGCGTCCTTGAAATTTAAAATGAAGTCCAAGGAGTTTTCATGGAGGTATTTTTATGAAGCACAGATCCTAACATGCAAGAGTTTCTAAAGCGTCCTTGAAGTTTAAAATGAAATCCAAGGAGTTTTCATGGACGTATTTTTATAAAGCACAGATTCTAACATGCAAGAGCTTCTAAAGCGTCCTTGAGAAGTAAAATTCAAATTCAACAATCTCACCTCTCTCTCCACCTGACTTGCGTGTTTTATGGTAGTAAACATCAAGTTCAGCTGTGTCTGCAGAAATTCTTTGTTCTTTACTTTGCGTAAGACGATGCCAAGACATTTGTACGAGAAATTCTGGGGAAAATTTTGGATTAAGGATTAGGAAACGGTGTCATTATTTGTCACCCAGGAGTAGGGGAATTATTTTTGTGACATAATTAAAGATTATATGATCCTTCCTGAGAAGCACTACCTCTTTTATGACCCCTTCCCCATTCCCCCCCTCCCTCCTCACTAGTGGTTGTTACTTTCTCATCTTTGTAGGACCCCCTCAATATCTAACTAATTCCTCCTCGAGTTGTCTGAAAAGCATTTACCTTCTTAAAGGCCTTCGACGCCTCAGGCGATAAACCTATTTCAAAAACCCGTCGGTCAGAGATCTGAAATCTGGAATCTGAGACCGAGTAACACGCTAGAAAATGTAATATATTCACAGCCAAACAACATAGTTTCCTTTTAAATTTGAATATGAAGCATGACTTTTTAATTTTCCGTATTTTAGCCAAAAAAAAAAAAAACAAATTTCAGCGTGCACCTCG